TATATATATATATATATATATGTAAATACTACACAGAGTAGCCCAATAGAGAGACATTTCCTGAGGATGGGCTCTAGCACGAGTCTGAAAATTCAGAAGACTAAACCTCTGGACCCAGTGACTGACCCAGACTGGATCTAGCAATGTGATTTTTCTTACTCTTAGGCAGTGGTGGGGTTCAAATAATTTAACAACCAGTTCAGCAGAACTGGTATTTAATATATTTTTTTAGTTCAGTGAATCAGCTCCGAAATGGCTAGACTAGCATGCAGTCACGTGCCTCCAACCCCCTTGCTTTTTGCAAAGCCATATTGCACAAGCAAGGGATTGGAAGCACATGAATGCATGGTAGTCTGCCCATTTTGGAGCCTGTTCACCAAACTCAACAAAAAATTAAGTATCGGTTCTGCCGAACCAATGCGAATCGACTGAATCCCACCACTGGTCTTAGGACTTAAAATAGCTGGGTCTGGTCACCTATAGGAATGATTGTTTTGCACTCTCTGAGGGACATCTTATGTTGGATTATTGTATGCAGAGGTGGGTTGCTGCCGATTCAGTGCGCGCAAAAACTTTGCGATGAAAATTGTTCTGAGCATGTGCAGAATTGAAAAACAAGATGGCACTGCCATAGGAGAACCAGTTTTGGGGCATGACAGCCCTGGGTCGCTACCGGTTCCAGCGACCCAGGCTGCCAAGTTGCTACCTATTCAGCCGAACCGGTCCAAAGTGGTAGGGACCCACCTCTGATGGTGTGGTATCCTCCACCTCATCTTTCTGTTTCCAGATAGACAAAAGTGCAAACCGTCCTTGGTCACTTTCAAAACTGAGAGAGTGGGGATGGAAACTCTGGAGTGTGCAAGTCGCTTGAGCTACAGCAACAATTATATTTATTTTCAGGAAGGAGAACTACACTCTCCCTGGGGATCTAATGTTTCCACACTACCCCTGAACTAAATTCCATTTTTCTTCCCTCTCTGGAAATGTAAAGAAATACTTTCACAAGAAAAAGAGCTCAGCCATCAGGGCTAAATTTGCCACGATTACATCTCTGTGGTTTTTCTTTTTTTTAAAAATCGACTATATTCAGCAAGGTCCTGTTTTTGAAAAGACGTACCGCTTCAATGCATAATTATGTGATTTAGGTTCTAATTGTCAACAAACAAATGAGGCATTACATTAGCAGGAGTAAAGCCATTCCAAATTACTAAGTCTTTTTCCTCACTCCGATGGCTTATTTATATGGAGTTCCTCCATCAGTCATACACCCACACAATGGATCAGGCCTGGGGGATCCATTACATCTGCCAGGTTCTTCTGATGAATGTGAGAGAGCTGGATGTTTCAGCACTGGAGCGTTCTCTCGTCCCAGAAAATATGGGTCCATGTAGCTTTTCAACATCTTTAAAATTCCAGGAACTCCATGTTGTACTTCCATAATGGTTCTCAAACCATTAGGGAATATGGAGGGGTAAGAATACAGTAAATAAATTAAGCACTGGTCATCCCTTCACAAGAAACGATGAGATCATGGGCAAGGGGTAAGATATATGTTTTACTTAGTAGGATGTAACAATCACAACTTCAATTGGCAGAGATTTTTTTACTGGTATAACTGCAGCTATAAAATTTGCAAACATTAAAAGAAAACAGCAGCAGTGATCATTTTAGGTGAAGTACACACATTACAGGAAACAGGTCTTTGTCAAAGTATTTTCTGTCCTCTTGAAATCAAGCACATGTAGGTACCATATTTTTCAGAATATATATGCACCTTCCCCCCCCCCAAAAAAGAGGGTAAAATCTGGGTGCATCTTATATGCTGAATATAGCATTTTTGGCTTCCTGAAACCCCGCCCCTTCACAAAAATGGACGTGCAGAGGGTTTCGGAGGCTTGCAAAGTACTCCTGGGGGCTGGGGAGGGGAAAAACGAGCAAAAAATGGGCCGTTTTTTCCTCGTTTTTGTCCCCCCAGCCCCCAAGAGCACTCTACAAACCTCCTAAAGCCTATTCATGACCTGTTTTTTTGCAAAAAATTCATTTTTTGCAAAAAAAATGCCATTTTTTGCCATTTTTTGCTCATTTTTGATTGCCCCGCCCCCCAGCCCCCAGGAGCACTTCACAGGCCTCTCAAACTCTTTGCATGAGGCGCGTAGAGGGTTTGGGAGGCCTGCAGAATGCAAACCTTTTTAAAAAATTTACCTCTTCAAAATCTTGGTGTATCTTATACTCTGGTGTGTCTTATACTCCGAAAAATATGGTATGTTTGCCTTTGTCTAATGCCTGAATTCACATAGACTGGAGACAGACAAACACCGAAGGCAGTTTGAATTCATGATCTGTTACAGATGGATGCCCCCAGCTTATTTTTCTTTGCCTCTGATAAATGGCTTTGATAGGTTTGGCCCTTATTTCATAAGAGTTACCCAAACAGAATTGACAGGGACATACAGCTGGGTCTATAAGCTCATGAAACAAAGCCTTTCCCAAACCATTTCGAGCTCTCTTAAAACCAGCTTCTCCATTCCTGTGCATCTCTAGGCGAGTTTATTTAAAACTTGCACAATAGATGGTCGTGATGAGCTTTTTTGTGAAATGATGCAGGGAAGTGGGATATCTCTCAGCAGGAGAAGCGAGATCGTTTCCCCCTGCTCTTCTACAAGTCCCCAAAATGATTTTCTTGCTGCTTTCATCTTAGTGACTCACCAGGTTTCTTTTTGGAAGCTTCCTGGATTTGAATCCTCTCCAGCTCCGTCAGACATGGAGGCTCTGTAAGAGTCAAAGCAAAATTCATCAGTGCCAAATCAACTCAATGTGATCTCCTGGGCATATAAAGGAAGCAAGTTCTTTTCCTGCAATTCTTCCCCAATCTGGAGTAGAGGGACAAGAGCATTCACCTGTTCTACACGTTTGTTGGAAAACATGACTGTAATAATATGTGCAAATAGATCTATGACTTGAAGAAATGCACTATGTACATTTTAGGCATTTTATTACTTTGTTTGGAATGGAGCCCAAGCTGTAATATCCATCCCTGTAATATACACCTCAGTCCACCAGGCCTTTGCTTTGATCTCTGAAATCCAGTAACTATGGTGGCGCCATCTATGTACACCTAGAGATATAAATGTCTATGGAGGTTCTCTGTTATCCAGGTCATGCTTGTCCAAAAGGTGCTTTTGTCCCACTTCAGAGCTGAAGAAGCTTCTTGGAATGAGAAGCGAAACATCTTCAAAGAACAACCAGAAAGTATTGAAAAAAGCATCTTTGGGACCTAGATACATAGGACATTGGACCTTAGAGGTCTTCTAGTCCAACCCCCCACTCAAGGCAGGAGACCTTATATTATCTCAGTCAAATGGCTGTCCAGTCTATTTTATGAAAACTCCTAGTGCTGGAGCATCCACAACTCCAGAAGGCAAGTTATCCCATCGATTAATTGTTCTCACTGTCAGAAAACTTCTCCTTATTTCTAGGATGGGCCTCTCTTTAACAAGCAATCTAGTACATCAAAACACATCTTTATTATGAGAGTATCTATGTTTGTCTAAGATGCAGTTGTGGCTCACCAGGGCCCAGCGGAGCTGGTGGCAGACTCAGACAGTAAGGAGGTTAGGGAGGAACATAGATTCTGGGGAAGACTCTAATGAGTGCTCTGAGGCAGAGAGGGGGCCAGGGCCATCTGACAGGTATCAGCTGCCTTCGGAGTCGGACATCAGTGGTGCAAAAGAACAGCTGGAGCCTGTTCCCACTGTGTGCATGTGCAGAGTTGCCAGATGAAGGGAACAACTAAGGATCAAGGTACGACTTGGGAGTAAGGCCACAGGAGGATAGTGAATGGCCCCTTCCATACGGAATACGGAGCGAAAGGAGAGGGGAGTTTTCAGGAGACAATTAGTTCAATTCATTAGGGTGAAGATCTGTTCCTGACTTCTTGCCAAGTATAGTCTGCCACAGAGTGGCGTTTGGAAGATATCGGCCTGGCAGCTCTCCAAGCCTGATAAAGGTCGGTAGCTGTGAAATCTCTTGAAAGAGTGTTTGGTTGGGACTTTGCTGGAGAGGAATTCATTTTAAAGTAAACAAAAGGGGTTTTATCAGGACG